GGAAATTCTATAGGTTATTTGTTGCTCGATTGGTTACTTTTGTAGATTTTTTATAAAAAAAATTTTTTTTCCTGAAATATGTAAATAAAATTATATAACAATGAAAAGTATTCACGCGATCAAGACGAACAACTTTATACAATATACAATCATACATAGGTATATATATATATGCATACAGAGACACGTATATAGTGAGGACTGCAGAACCGGTACCAAACGCCTCAAATATTTATCACAGGAAATAGGATGACGTATAGTCCGCTAGTAGGTACATAATAAATTATCCGTCCACATGATTTTAAATAAGTGATAAAATATTAATGACACTACAAGAAGGACACATTTTATTAAACAATGTTCTTAATGTTCTTTTAGTAGTAAATCGAGAAAACAATATGCCACATAATGCGTGAAATATCTATGTTTAAGTACTAATGAGCACCTAAAACTATATAGACATCATTTTTTGCTAGTCTTTTAATATTATTATAAATTGTAATAGTTGTACTATACCTTTTCAATAAAAGTGACTTATTTTTATGGATATTTAAGTCTTACACATATTACACATTTAAAATAACTACTCAAATCGGAGAGTACAATTGTATAAAATTTAGTATTAAATTCTGTTCTGACATCTAAGTATATAATAATATGGTAATAATAATAAAATATAATAATAAACCATTCTTAACTATGGTATTAGTAGTAAGGTAGTATAAATATTAGTACATACATTACCAACTAGTAAAATACCAATTGTAGAGACTGTCATGTAGGCAATAGGCACATTTAATAATGTATATACTTAAGTACTTACTTTAATGTATATTTAGTAATCATTAAAAATATTCAGGGGAAAATAATTTCGTTCATGTTAACGAGAATAAACTGTCAACTTTTTTTTTTTACTTACCTAATATATTGTTTGTAAGCAGGGCTCAAGACTTATAGTCTATGGCACTATAAAACAACTATAAATATGCTTAAACCCGTAAATTATGCAGCAAATGAAATAAATGAGATCAATATATGAAGGAAATATTTTTTCTCGGAAATCATAATTGCAGAATTTCCCCAAAATAAATAAACCTTAAAATATAAATTTATTATGCACAACAGTATCTAAGCATCTTTCTTTATATAACATTTATATTTTATACACAATAGATTTGTATTATAATTGATTCCAAATCTATGGAAATAATAAGTATACAAGAGATCGATAAAATAATAAATATTACTTATCTACCTGGATAGTAGCTACCTACCTATTTAAAAATAATAATAATGATTATCGAATACAACATAATGAAATGTCCCAATTTCGGATTTATATTAAGATACGTAAGGGGTTCACTATACAGTAGCATTTTATGGCTGGTGTTTAACATATTATTACAATACAAGTATTTCTTTCATAACCCACTGGCTAGAAATTAAATAAATAAAAAATTCAACTTACATTTTTTGTACATAACTATTTATCGGTCCCTTATTAGTAATTTTTGTAAAAATTTATTTTTCACTTATAGTAAAAACTAAAAACATCATTGTATCCTAAGTTCCTAACATAATGTTCCTTCTATTATATATACCTATAGTTGTCTTTTTAATTGAATAACAATATTTTGTTTTATAATATTATATTGTTCTGTAGGTATTATAATTTATAGCTTGCGGTATTTAACCATCAGTCTCTTAACAGTGTTCTATTGTCAAAAAAAAAATTGTATTTTATATAACTAGGCCAGTTTCAAAATATGCAATTTATATGTTATGTTATAATTGCCGCTTTAGTTGCAAAACCCCCGAAGCTGATATTTGATCGATATTGAAACACGCCTCATTGTTGATGCATAATAGGTCGCGACGACTAGCGGATTATATTATACAGACATTTGCCGCCTTGCCAGTTATATTTGTGCTCGATTCGAATGCTTGTGGCAAAAAAAAATTGAATTGTTAATATTGTTTTACATCTTACACAGTTACACAGATAATCGCGTCTGCGATAACGTGGTTTCCTTATCCTCGTAGGACTTTATAATGCACATAAATATGTAGTCTACATAAAGTATAAATATGCATAATTACAAGTCGTAGGAGACCAAGTGAATACCTCCTGCCGTGTAAATGATGACTTTGGAAGCGTATGCCTTATAAAGTCTGGCTTATTGTGAATATTCTATGTTTATTGTTTAAAAACTGTTTTTATCGACAAAATATTTATTTTATTCACTAAATATTCTGAGGCAATGAGACCACACGCTCGAGCTAAAAACCCACGTCGTGATAACACTATAGGAAACTATTAAGAATTTTAGACCATTCTATATTATTTACATTATACAGAGGTACAGCAGTACAGATACAGTTTACTTAAACCTACATGGCTACATATTTCTAAAAAGATTGTTGACAAAAAACAAATGATGTTGATACAAAAATAAATACAAGACCGTAATAATTAATAACGTCTTTTTGTTAACGTAGTAGGTATTGAAAGTAGATAATAATGACGTATAATAACTAATAAGGATAACTTAATTTTTCCTAATTATGTTTGGTTAAAAATACTTCATTGTAAGTTGTAGATTATCGTGAATTCGCGACTATCGTGTATTCTAATATTATGGGTCGTCACGATCGTGATTTATGAATAACCTATTATAAATAACAAAAACTATTATACCTATTTCAAGTCAATATTTATATATTTCATTTATTTTGTTTATTCTACATTTTAAAGAATAATAACCTATCAATTTTAATAATAACATTAATCCGCCCATATGTGGTCCATATTATGTACACAGCCCACAGCAATCTCCATTTCTTAAAGAATTATATGTACGTATGTATTATTTTTAATTATATAAACAATTAAATCCTCTACCTTAAAACATTACAATTTACAAGTCAATTAAATTCATGATTATAGTGTAGTAGTGTACTATCTGCTGTACTACTTGTACTAGTATAATGTTTAGTCATTATTTTATGTCTACCTAGCTATAATAATATGTATAGACTGTAAAGTACTATAACAACCTATTTGGCTGTTGCAAAATAATTCATAAGATGCTTTTGTTGGTCAATAATCAATATCACACGATAAATCACTTCTACTCAACAGTCGTATCACTTATAAGTTCTTGACGGCAACTTAATACTGTTATAATAGCCTCAATATTATTTATATAACTGTATATATCAACTATATCTTATACAGTTGACTTTGCAGTATTACTGTAGTTTGTATTAGATATACTCGTGAGAAGTGAGAACAGTAAGAGTATTGTAATGAATAGGCGATCACACCTCTATCATTTGAGTCGTTTTCCACGACCCAAGTATACTACACGTTTGACGAAATATAAACCCAAAATCCCGGCGGGCAGGGTTAATTTGGATACATTAATAGTGTTCTGTAATCGTGTCTTCGACTCAACACATTGCCCTTTCCACGTGGTTTCGATAATGATATAATACTTCTATTTATACGTATGTAGGTACCTACTACCTACCTAGCTACTATGGCCGTTTGATTGATCTGAACACGTCTTGGTCCTTGGAGTGAACGGCGAGGCGCATCGACATACATAACATATTATAATACCTATTATAGCTATATTTAAACGTATTATTACTAGTGGTACCTATGCTTGACGCTCGAATTTCGGCGATCGAACGATTATATTTTCATTTCGAGAGCCGAGACTGCCCGAAAGGTAGGAATGCTGTCGAGTAATTTCATGATGATTGCAACGCGTTTGGGAGGTCTTTTTTTATAACAATATATGTAACTATATCTATATTACCAGGATCGTTTCATAACGATATTTATAAATATATAATATAATGATTGGCCTGGGAGACGATTGTTGATTATGTGTTCTCCCTTTCCCGTTTTTACAACACTTTCCTAGTTAGTACAATAGCACCCTATTGCCTGGTGTATTGATGTTGATATGAACGACAGGCTAAAGTACCACATACAACAATCGCAGTTGCTTAAGAGGTAGGTAGTATTCAACTGTACAAAATATTTGATCTTAAGACCTACGCTGAAAAGCGGTAATTCAACATGTATGAAGTGTAGGTATGTCATATGTCATATGTGTACAACCATAAATACCAACAATAAAGTAACAACGTTCCACGTGCGAACAACTGTAAAAATATATGGGCAGTGATTGATGACTCAACAATTTTTATTTTAGTCCGACAAAGAAAAATGTCTATGTTTATAACTCATTATAGACATTTCCATCAATAAAAGATATATATCTTTAATGCATATCGTGTTCCTATATGATTACTATTGTGGGTGGGCTGCAAGGGCCCATGAGTTGTTGGAATTTAATCATTTTGGCCAAATTGATTACACATTTTAGGGGTTTGCGATGCCACCATTAATATTTTAGATTTCCACAGAAAACATTTTAATAACATTATTATGTAGTATTGTAGTCATAGCCACAAATAAGATAATATAGGGTAGCCGGTGTTAACGCATTGGACCAAGTCACTTAAAAATCATTTAGCCCCTACCCGGCCTACCCTCGGAGAAAAAGAATGATCAGAAAGGTAGGTACAAGACATAAAAATATATACCATAATATGAAAGATATTTAAAAGATTTCATCAATATAACTTGACCCCTCTACCAAAAAAATCAATGTACATACAAAAGAGGAAAATAATTATCGGGGCTGGATATTTTATCTTGATTCATATAGCCCCCCCCCCCCTGTGCAACCAATGAATTTAATGATAATAATTGTGGAGTTTGTGCATGTGCTAGATGTAGAGTTCAGGGCATCCCTGTACGATTTATGACGTGGATATGGTTTCAACATTAATTAGAGGCCAATCTGAAAAATATCGAATCGACATTTTGTTTTGGCAAAAGTTCGGTTTTTATTGAAATACATGCACGATGCACCTAAATACTAATGCCATTACCGTTTATTTGTCTTGTCTTGTTATAGGATTGCGGCGCCATGTTACGCGGACTGCAATTCACGTTGGACACGCAACAAGCCGAAAAGCTGATGCAGAAGATTAAAGTGGGGAAGAAGCATAGGTGTTGGTGTCGCTTCGTCACTGCGTGCGTGGGCCTGATCATGTTCCTCGTGTCCGTGGTCACCGTGAGCCTCACGCTTACCAGGGGACAAAAAATGTTCGGCTCTCTCTGACGATATCGCGTTCAGCTCTCGTCTCTCAAATAACGGAATAACAATAATAATATTACTTATGATACACGTATTGATTATTATTATTGTTATTGCATCGTCAAATTTAAAATTATTATTATTATTTATTAATACATTATCATTGTTAATAAATTCGCATTGTACGTAGGTACCACGATGTAGATAAAATCTACAAAACCACGCAATACGCATGTACCTACGTACATATTTAAATCATATTAATATATTATTGTAATAACTAATAACATTTATGTCATTCCACAAACGTCCTGTGAAAATAACATGGTTATCAGTTGTAACTTGTAGTTATAATGTACCCATAAAATCTATATTATATTATTTATATATTATACTCGTAGTTCGTACATATAATCATATCACAGCATCTCCTTTATTATAAATAAATCCAAAAAATATATTTAGTATTTTAGTTAAAAAATATATCATCTCCTATTGTTTAAATACCTAAGTTATAATGGATCATCAGTTAAAATTACCGATTACTGATGTGTTCATTTTTAAATATTTATTTTGTCTTGACATTTTATAATATTTGCATGTAGAACCTATTTTTAATTTTGTAAATTTTCAAATATAAGAATACAGCATTAATATAATTTGTGATTACTGATTATAATAATTTATAGCCATATGGTATTTGTAATAAATGTATGCTCATTAAATACTAGAATTATGTATTTATAATTTAGGAATGTAACTAGTATTCAATTATTAAGAATTATGAATTCAGTAATATTTGTATGCACTATATGAGAAACATTCTTACAATAATTATTAGTTTATTGTTTATACTTATTGATTAGCTTATAAATTAATGTTATTATAAATTAATTGTAACAATAATAATTTATAATAAACAACATAATATAATGTATATATAAATATATGTCAAAGTATAAAATGTAATATTTAGTTTATTTATTTCAGGTAAAAGTATTTTAATTGATCAAGTGTAAATGTATTAAAATATTGATTACAATCAGTTAAGTACTTAAGAGTTAAGATTCTAAACATTTCACAAAACTAAAACATTTAGTATCATTTCCATACATAGGGAGCATATTACATAATATGGTTGATTATCATAATAATAATAATTAAGGACAAATTACAAAATCTATCAAACTGTCTTGTTGACTTGTGGGTATGTCATCACATATTTGTTCACTAAATGCCAACCCAATAGTTTTCAAATTATTAAATGGATATTTTTTTTTATATTCAGTTATGCATCGATCATAATAACCTTTTCCTCGTCCTAATCGTTTTCCATCCATGGTGAAACCCAAGCCTGGCACTATTATCAAATCTAAACCACCTGTACACCAAACAAAAATGGTGTATTATTTAAAAAACATATTAGATAGTAGGAAACATTAAAAAGGACCTGTTGTTAATGCATCCTCATGCACATCATCATCGGCCGGTTGTGATATATTCCATTTAGTTTTTGGCAAACTATTAAGTTCATCCATTGATTTTATATTCACCATAAGCATTTCATATTTGTTGTATCTAAAAACCGAAATTATTACTTTAGAAATACATTTAAGATGTTTGAAAAAAAGTATTAACGCACTTTGGAATAAAACATGTTTTTTTTGAGTCAAAAATGTTTTCGACAATATTATTTGTTTGCACTTCAGAATTCATACTGAGGTATATTGACACTCTGTTGCTTCTTATGTATACTGGGTGAGATAATATCTGAAAATATGATATTCATAATTCTACCTGTTAGTTACAAATATATTTAATTTAAACAAGTGATTAATATAATTACTATCAATTTATAATTTTAATATAGTTAAGTATTAATGTATTATAGAGTATAATATATATCATTAATTGAGTTCTTTTGACCATTAAACTTGGAAATATAAATAATACAAAGTTATCCCAGGTATAATGCAAATAATTCAAACATCATTTTTATATGATATTAAAGATTAATTGAGTTGGTTAATATAATAAATAATAATCAATAAATCAAGTATTAAAACATGAAAAAAGTAACAAAATTAAATATGTTTCATGATAACCTAAATGATAACATTTTAGTTAATTCATTTAAAGCATATTTATTCCTCATATTATAATTTATACAACTTACTTTGTTAGTTATTATTTTTGATTGTTCAGCAATTTCACTAGCAGTCATATGTGACAGTTTTTTTTTTAAGTTTTTGCGTAAATTTGTTTTAGCAATCTTCACTAGTTCCATTATGTCCAGCAATTGATTAAACTTCAAATTATGAATATAATTATTGATTGCTCAACTATTCATAAACTGTTAAAATTAAAAGGGATACATACTTCATGTGAAAATATGAAATGATAACAGTCAATTAATTTTAAATAAAGAAAAAACAAAATAGGTACTTATATAATATATTAAGTAAAAATATAGATCTTACCTTCGGGCTTCAATGTAACTCTACTTTTACAGGTGGGTGTGTGGTAGATATAATAACATTAGGGCATAAGTAGAACTATTACCTATATAATTGGCAATCGATTACAATGATCGAAACAATTTTATTTTATTTTATTGTAAATACATGAATGTGTTCATATTTAAAACAACTGTACGTGATTTTTATGTTAAAATTGGTTATTGGAGATAAAGAATACAATATTTGTTATTTCTCGACTCCTGAGTCCTTACTAATTGTATGTGAGAAATATCAATTTACAATTAATTATAAATTATTAACTTGTTCTTTTACCTTTTCCTCTCATGTATAAGCATGTGAAATATTGATTTATATTTTATTAGTAGGTAGTTATCAACTTACTCGATTATAATTCTTTCAATGTCCTGGACAATTTATATTATAATGTTTATTATAAACATTAGCCAAATTTCTTCACTTGTAAATAAAAATTATAGAGGTACAATATATATTTTGAGTTTGAACCTTGTACCTAAAACGCTATAATATTATTATATATTATTTATTTATTCAGATGATCCAAGAACCATTTACAATCAACAGGTTTAACGTTTGAAAACTAATTAATTGATAAATGCTGTATGCCTGTATTTGTTGATCATATGATTCTGTGGTCGTTAAATACAGTCTATCACGGGACCAAAATGTTATCATTTTTTTATTAGTGTTATCACATAATATGATAGCATGAAGAATAGACTCAAGTCTATTCTAGTAAAATTTTAAAAATAAAAAATTGTATTTCAACAATGTTGTTTTATATATCTGTGGATATAATATTCCTGTATGATAGTAAACAATAGGATATGGCATCACCTATATTAAATATTAATATTAATGATCAATACAATGTCTTAAGTCTAATATTCTAACAATTTTTGTTGTTTAATATATTAGTATATAATGTACAAGAAAATATATATTTATATAAATTAAATAACTATATTTTTGTTTTTGTTGTAGACCATTCATAAATTTGTAATAGACATGCTGTTTTATTAAAAAAGGACAATCAATAAACTTAATTGTTATAATATCTTCACGTCCAATAGTGAACCAAGATTTAGATTTTCTAGTTTTATTAAATTTTTTGTAATTTAAAATATAAATTATACAAATAATAAATCACTAATTACCTTCATATTTCACTGATTTATCTACAATAAATTCGTACAGGCCAACAATAATAAATATTTTAAGAATTTGTTGAAATCATTTGTTTCTCCTTTAATGAGTGTTTAGTATAGTAATTATAATTTAATATTCAAAATGGAAAAACGTGTATAAAGCCTCTTTTCACAAAAAAAAAAACAATTTTAAAAAAAGGTCACTTAAAGAAGTTTTATACCAAAAATTATTGTTGATTTACGCTCAACGTTTTCCTACATTTTCACACACAACAACTTATGAAGAACTTTATATTCAATTTTCAAGTTTTTCGACACAGCAAAAATTGTTCATCGTCAAAAAAAGCAATAAATTCGAAATTTTTTCATGCCTATAAATAGGTCAAAAAGAGTCAAAATATTTTGAAAATTGTAAGGTGTACAGAAATACAAATCTAAACATTCGGTGAAAATTGCATGTATGTAGTCTTTGCCTTGTACCTATACGATAATTTTTTTTAGTTACATCAAAAAACAAAATCGATTTTGACGACAACTAGTTTTGATTATAATTTATATTTCTTTTGATTTGACACTATAAAATATAGGACATTTTACCGAATAAATAAAAAATGTATTTATATTAATTTAAAAAATAAGCTCGATTTATTTTGAGAATCTATAATATGACGTTTTACAACACATAATATAATACTATATTAGTGACGTAGTAAGGAATTTTGTATGGGAGTGGGGTTGGGGCTAAAATGTTTTAGCAAAACAATTGTTTTAATATAGGCTAAAATAAACATAGGTAGTCAATGCGGGGGGGACTATTTTAGAGTAACCACCTCAAGAAAATAAAAAACGGGACAGTTGTTACTACCCTTACTCAAAAAAAACTACTCTATACATATTACATATACATTCACACATATGCACACAACCGTCAACCAGGGGCGGACTGGGGCAACATTTTGGCCCTGGAAATCTATATTTTCGGCCCTTGCCATTTTTCGTCATCACAAAAATGTAAAAACTTAAATATACCAACGTTTTATTCAATGAGGAATGCAGCCTCTATACATTTTCAATTTTCCCAGAAAACAACTTAAGATTTTTTTTTTTTTCATTAATTGTTTATAGCATCAAGTAAGAGGTTATTAGCCAGGGGTTTTTGGGACTGTTGGGTTCGGAACTCGTGTGAAACTTAAGATTTGTTAAACTAAACTTACCAAATAGTTTCAATATGTAATTTTAATTTTGTTTAATATTAATGAAGTACTTCACAAATAAATAATATATTGGTAAAAGTCATTTAATCATAACATAATATTATTTAATACCTTATGTAAAAATATAAAATATTATGACACTTATATTGTAGTATATTAACTTTTATTATTAGGTATAACTAGAGTTAGGATGTTGATGACTTTTGCATTTTTTTTCCTTTTATTCTGTACAATGCTATCCTAGCTAAAAATTTGTTTCATGCTCCCTTGATGCAGAATATTCTAATTTTATTTTGCATTTTTTTGCATTTTTTGCATTTTCAGCTATAAATGCATTTTTTTTGTTTTTTAACGTCATTTTTCAACATTTTTAAGTCATTTTTTCATTTTTTACAAATTATAGATTTTAGGGCAAATGTTACACCCAAGTTTGGAAACAAATTTAATTTATTTAAAATCTAACTTTGGTTTTGGACTATTAGTAAAAAATAATTTTAATATTATTATTGTGGGGTTTTTGTTGTGATTACATTTATTGCGTTCCGATAAGATTTACTCTTTGAGTGTTATATATTGAATTATTTAAATGCTTAATATATTTATAATTCATATTTTAAATTACTATTACACCCATTATTATACCCATATCTCTAATAAAAATTATTATTTATAAATAAGTTTTTTCACTTACTTAATTAGTATTTTAGGTAATTTTTTGAAGTTTTCAGAGCATTTTTGCACTTTTTTTATGGTTTTTTTTGCATTTTTTTTAGGACATTTTTGTGTGTTTTTTAGGTCATCAACATCCTAACTCTAGTTATAACTAGATTTAACTCATTTTTCCTTTGGAAATAAATTAAATTCATATTGCATACCTATTATTTAAAGAACATTTTCTTTTAAAGATAAATGTACTTCTATGAAAAAACGGGATTAAAACGGAACCATCTTCTAAAAACAGGATAAAAAGCGTCCTGTTCGAAGTATGTCGGGACAAAAGGGACATGTTGGTCAAAAAAGGGAAAATTCCATTTTAAACGAACGTTTGGTCACCCTAAACTATAGCCTTCTGGTTAAGTATGTAGGTACTAAATTATATTAAGTTTATATCATGATTATTTACATTTAAATATTTTATTTCCAACGCATTACAACTTTAAATAAAATAGCTAAGTATCAGCGACCGAATGGTGGCTTACTCTGTTGAGACATTTTCTTCCAGACTTCCTCAAATGTTTGCATTCTTATATTGTTATACATTGTAACTTGTAAAATATAGGAATGTATGGTATTTGCACCTTACCTTCTCTAAATTGCGGAATAGACTATGGAGTAATTATTAGTACTGTAAGTAATTTGATGGATATTGTTTAAATTGTATGAGGTTTTTACTCCCTTTCCCGCCGATTAGAAATCCTGATTAGGCAACTGAAGTGAATTACACTTCCACCGAAATGCACTAATGGCCTAATGCCCAACTAAAGTAAATTAGTTAATCTAAATTTTTTGTTGATCCAGAACTCAGTAAATATGGTTGATAAATATTGTATTATACGATACGAAAGTTACTGTACACTGGGTAGTATTTTTAGTTCGTCTATTGATTCCAAGATGATGAGCACAAAAGACAGCGAACGTGGAAAATATTTTTGCTGTGAAACAATTTTAAGTTTTGCACACAAAAGAAATTTAAGTCCGGAGAACAAAAATAGTGGCAGTTTTCCGATGTGAAAATAAAGTGTCTAGTAGTTTTAAAAACAATTAGTTCTAGAAATAATTCAATTAAAAAAATATTACCATGATGCAATTTTTTAAAGCATCTGTAGCATCTCATGATTATAAATCTAAATGTTTTGTTTAATTTAAATATTAACTTATGATAATTATTATAAGATATATAGATATAACTAGGTATCATTTATCTACATAATATGTTTATTATAAATTATATAATTGTTGACGCCACAATAACCGTTTGCACCTGCATGTAAATCTGTGTTTTGAATTTATAAATATTCAATAAAAAGTAAATTGGCGAAAAATATATTTGTTCTATGGATGAGAAAACAATTTCAATAGAATTTACATGAAAAATGGTAATAATTGGAAGTTATATAAGCATCCTCTCATAAACCTGGGTAGAAATTGTTCACTATCCCTAAAAGCCTGGGTGTACGATTTCAGATAGTGAAAAAAGCTAGCTGACATTGAACTGAGTCCCGTAAATACTTTTGGGTTATTAGAGTTGTGTCCATCCAATAATATTAGCCGTAAGGTGGTTCGAGTTGAGTCACTTCAGCCTATTAGTGATTAACCAGGACACATCACGTGAAGGTTGGCTTAAACTCAAATAATTGAGTGTTTATGAAGACATTTAAAGGTCAACTACAATATAAGATCACGTGGTGCTACAAACCTACTCGAAAGGGAATTATAGGAACTAGGAAGAATGGTGGTGTTCAGTCAATCCAACCAATACGTTCGAAAGTTTTTGGAGAGACATAAAAGATACATTTTTATAAGTCTATTATAATTTAAATGACAACTGTACAATTACGAGCTCTAATAAAATTATTTAGGTAAGGCGACATTTTTTCGCGTAGATAGCATACGACACAAGTATTAATTTTTTGTAGATATAGCATACGCCGGTAGATAGCATACGACACGTGTACCAAAAATTTAAATGATATAGATTTTAAAAAGTCAAATCTGCAAATTTGCATGTTTATATATTTCTTTGTCTGCTCCCGTAAAAAATTTTCTTTTTCTAATGTTTCTTTACGTGTTCGCTTTGATTTACTTCTTAATTTTATGTATATATACTAGACTGCATTTCCAGAAGAGTGTCCACAAGAATAAAATTATTTGGATGTCCCTAATGAAAAAAGGCATTTCATTTTAAGTGAAAACTGTCATAACTATTAGTGGTCCGATTAATTGTTACTAAATAATCACTCCAAACATTGGGGGTATACTG